AATACATAACTAAAAAAAAAAAAAAAATAGCCATACAATTCTGGCTTTTTCTTTTTTTGTGACCTATGTTTTACATACGTTGTGTTTAATAGGAACATAAAATTGTTTTAGCTCAGGTTTACTTTTTTTTAACATGTACGATTTTAAACGGATGTGTTTTATAATATTTAATTAAAAATGTTTTTTTTTAAATTAGTAAGTAGAGTAAATTTTACTTTTAATTAGTAAGGTAATATTTTTTTTTAAATTAGTGAGTAAGGCAAAAAAAACAAAAACCCATGTACATGCATATACATACCTAAGTGCTCTAGTCTAGTTTGAGATGCTCATGTCAAGAAAATGATGATTGTGCAACACGTTACATATCGCCATGCACCCCAGAATGAGAGCAATACTTCTAGGGCCATTATTCACAGTTAACTTTAAAGTGATGACCTGTAAAGGGTTTTAAAACATCACCTATGTGCAATTTTAGATACCAAAGTTTTTAACTGTTTTACAGTTGTGAAAGTTTAAGGCCTGACGTGTGCCATCTATTTACTCGACACATTCCCCCTTTACCAGAAACTTGTGTTTTATGTGCCCTAAAATTAATTTGAATACATTTTTTACAACAAATTTGGATTTGATAAACATTTGCAAAAATATTGTGTGCCATAAAAAAAAATTAAACTACCAGCATTTTATTTTCCATGATCTCTTTCAAAATCAACAGTGTCAAATGACATAAAGACACCAATTATAAAAGAACACTTTCTTATAGAATAGAAATCCAAATTATTATATGAGATAGACTTTCAAAACCATCATGGTCCTAGGATCATCAAGCACCTAAGTAGCACTGCATCCCTTGTATGACACAAGGAGGCAATGCTTCACAGACGCTCTAATGCTACTATAGATACAGTAATAACCAAACTATAAAACTCACAGAGACCTCCGCACCCCACCTTCTAGAGCAAGTGCCTATTAACACACTTCTACTGAGTAATGCCAAGTGGGGGGAAAGAGGCCCCGCTACTGTATGGTATCCTTAAGGCCTGAGAGGAAAAAGTGGGAAGGAAACATACAGATAAAGTAGAAACACAAAGAGCAGGGGAGAGAAAGACCGATCACGGATGGTCTCTGCTTTTAAAAGATAAACATGTACACAAAAGTCCCAGGCATTTGGCAGGAAAAGTGATAAATATGTCTGTCTGATTTCTTACCTCAGGGAAGAAAGGTGGATGATTTTGCTACAATTCTTTAGCATGTCAATTTCAGCATGCACTATTGAGCCCTGGTTTTTTATTTTTTTCAGCAAACCTTGTTATGATACCTAGTTCATTTTGTTTGTGCCAAAATCAATTTTTCAGGTTGTCCAACAATAAGAAAAAAACTTGAAAAATATTTGAGATTCTTATGGTTTTATAATGTGTTAAATACATTCTTATGGTTTTATAATGTGTTAAATAAGTTCATATATAAAATCTCCATGTTGTTCTTGCAAGGTCTATTCAAAACATAACACAACAAAAGACGGGGAAATGGAGTAGCCTTTTTTCTGTATAGAACACATATACCAATCTGCAGGGTTTCAAAAAATTGTTCAAAAAACGATCCCCAACACAAAGAAATCCCTTCTATGGAGATTGGTCCAAGTAAGCAGGTGAATCAAAATTAATAATGCAATATTTATTATTAGAAAAAACATGTATTAACTCCCATTACAAAACATTTAAAAACAATTAATTATTACAATTATTGTTTTTATATGTTTTGTAATGGGAGTTAATACATGTTTTTTCTAATAATAAATATTACTTATTAATTTTGATTCACCTGCTTACTTGGACCAATCTCCATAGAAGGGATTTCTTTGTGTTGGGGATCGTTTTTTGAACATCTATTCAAAACATCCTAATTTAAGACCATCTAGGTCCGTGGTTCTCAACTCATGGGTTGCGACCCAGAAGTGGGTGGTGAGCCCTTCTGCAGTGGGTCGTGGCGCCCTTCCTGCATGGAGCAGCCCATTTTCAGTATGGAGACATAGAGGGGGGATTTTTCAAAAAAAAATCCCCAACACAAAGAAATCCCTTCTATGGAGATTGGTCCAAGTAAGCAGGTGAATCAAAATTAATAATGCAATATTTATTATTAGAAAAAACATGTATTAACTCCCATTACAAAACATATAAAAACAATTAATTATTACAATTATTGTTTTTATATGTTTTGTAATGGGAGTTAATACATGTTTTTTCTAATAATAAATATTACTTATTAATTTTGATTCACCTGCTTACTTGGACCAATCTCCATAGAAGGGATTTCTTTGTGTTGGGGATCGTTTTTTGAACATCTATTCAAAACATCCTAATTTAAGACCATCTAGGTCCGTGGTTCTCAACTCATGGGTTGCGACCCAGAAGTGGGTGGTGAGCCCTTCTGCAGTGGGTCGTGGCGCCCTTCCTGCATGGAGCAGCCCATTTTCAGTATGGAGACATAGAGGGGGGATTTTCTGTCAGTCTAAGGGAACTCCATGTTGTGAAACTGTCCCCTATTTCCCCGCCCCCGCTGAAGTAATAGGGCTCGGGAAGAGAGGGGACTATTTTCTCACTTCCGGCCTGCGGAATGATATCAGGAGCCGCAGGTGCCGACAAGCAAGTTAAAGTCCCGGCCTCCAGTACTTAGTGCAGCAGATATCAAGCCACCCCAGCGCGGTGGATTGATATCAAATAGGCTTGGTAGTTCAGTCTGTCTGAAAGCTGAGAAAAGTAGGCAGGCAGGGTGATGTGTACAGTTTGCTGGATTAGCATTTGCAATTGTAATAAAACATTGTACACCACCACCCGCCATGGTTTTTGAGGTCCCCTGCTCTTCTGGGGGATCTGGAACCATGGCAATATGGATGGAGCTCTGTCACAGCACTGCAGACCCCACTGGAGCTCAGGCTAAGGATCCACCACAGTTCTCAATAAGATAGGGAGAATTGGTTGATCTTAAAAAAAGATAACACATTTAATTTTTTTGGGAGTGTGAGAATGTCTATGAGTGAGATTGTGTCTGTGGTTGTGTGTGTCTGTCAGTGTTTTTGAGGGTCTGTTCACACTAGTATATTGTGCCACAGTCCAGTTCGATTACTGCTTTGTACCACGCAAAAATCGCACCTACCGCAAATTCTGGTGTGGGAGTTGTGTTGCATTGCCATTCATTTGAATGGCACCCAAACGCACCTCTTGCCCACAGTTTGATCGCCCGCACCGGAACGTGCAGTACCGCAATGCTGTGCGTTCCAATGCCGTGCCACTTGGGTCGCGACTTAATGACCAAGGACAAATGTGGGCCCTGATGTTACACAGGTTGAGAACCACTGATCTAGGTGCTCCATTCTCACCTATTTTACCAGTTACCCACATAGGTGGTATTGTTATTATATTTCTTTCCTTGACTATGGTGAAATGGAGTACCGCCTAGTAAGGTGAAAAATAAGGGCACACCTCTTATGTTGTCTGAAGAAATAGACTAAGGATGGAATCATCAGACTGTATCCAAGATAACATATCACAGTATAATCCTCATAACATTTTACATAGACAGTATTTATTCTGTACACTTACAGATATAGCAGTATTGCGTGTAAAAACAACCCCATGTGAAACTGCACGGTACCCCCCTGCTTGTTGGGGGTGTTGTTGTCACTGAGGATTGTTTTGTAGTGTAAGTGTATGCTGGATTTCTTTGGTTTGGTAAGATGGATTCATATCTGCGCTTCGTAGTGGCTTTATCTATCACAGTGCTGATTATAGAGAAGAGGAAAAGGTGGAGGTGAAGATTCGGGGTCCATCTGGTGATTGCGAACCGACAACATGTCCAATTCTGGGCCCTGTATACCAATCTCAATGGGCATGAGGAGAAATGTTTCCAGTGCACACGCATGTCCCAGAAAAGGTGAGTTCACATGCTGTCCTTTTTTTGTTTTTGTTTTGGTGAGTCAGCTTGCATGTGCATCAGTGATTTCGATCTTGAGTAAGGCACATTCAAGCTGACAGTCAGGGCAATTGAAACTGGAACAGTTGTCCATAGCAACCACTCAGCTTCTTTTTTTTTTTTAGGAAGAGCCTACAAAATGTATAATGCCACATTTCTGTAACACGGCCTGGAGATAGCCTCAGTGTACTCTATCGAAAGCCTGTCCTGCGTCCAAAGAGAGGAGCAGAGAAGGCAATTTGGATAGTTCAGCACATTGAATCAGATTAATGGGTCTCCTGGTGCCATCTGGTGCTTGTCTCCCATGCACAAACCTTACTTGGTCCGGATGAGCCAGGCAGGGGATAATATGTAGCAGCCTGTTAGAAATCAATTTGGCATACATTTTAAGGTCTGTGTTGAGTAGCGAGATTGGTCTGTAGTTAGCAGGATCGTCAGAGGGTTTGCTCGGTTTAGGGATAGTAACTATAAGGGATTCTTTGGGGAAATTACCAAAGGCAGCAGCTTCATTAGCAAATTTGGTTGTGTGGGGCTAGGATTGTGGAGAATGCTTTATAATATTCAGAGCCAAAACCATCAGGTCCCGGTGTCCTTGTGCAAGGGTAACCGTGATATAATTTTAGAAAACTCCAAAGCGGAGAAGGGCTCAGTCAAAGAGTCTGCGAAGTGAGGGGAGACGTATTGAGTCTAAGAATTTGTTAATATCCACTGAAGTGGGTTTAGGGACAGTGGGGGAGTCATGTAAGTTATAAAGGGATGAGTAGAATTTGCTAAAGCAGTTAGCCATAT